TGAACACATTTGGGACTAACAGGGTTTACTAGAATCCCACCACTCCACCACAGAGTCTTCCACTGTTTCGGCGTGTATGTGAACACATTTGGGACTAACAGGGTTTACTAGAATCCCACCACTCCACCACAGAGTCACCGCAGTAGACGTTAGATGAGCGCTGTCGCTCCGCGGCACTTGTTTTAATATAGATGGCCGGAAGGATCCGGTAGTCTATAAGAAAGCATATGTTATCGGGGTTTCTACGAAAGACGTATAAACTGTAATTTCTCTTTACGTGTTTACATCTGCTGCCCTTTTCACCCTAATGAGAATAGCTCAACTTTGAATTCTTGTTTGTGATGTCTTCAGAAGAAAAAAAGAACCAGCAGTTGGTAATATCGGCCGATCACAGCAAAAAGTGAAAGCATTTTTAGTCTGAGAACCGATATAGATCTTACATGTGTTTTTTGTCTCGTACGTGTCAAAACAACAAAAGTGTCTGCAACTATATAGAAACCCAAAATCATCTTCTTGACTAGTGGAAACCCTGGCCTGGTGCCATAGCGGATGTTCTAGCCACAACAACCACAGCCAGATGCTCTGACTGCAGAAAATCAGCAGAGATGGGGGTGGTGTTTACGAATGGTATTTAATTTAATTTCATTAAATTGAGCATTAATTCAGCAGTCGGATGGCTCGTGGCAGGCAATGGCTCTTGCGCTCTCCGATTAGTGATAGGATGTGCCAATTAGACAAGTTGGTAAAGAAATTGCGGCTGTGATTTACGAAACAAAAACCATCAAACGTATCTGTTCCCATTTCCTCATCAAATTAATGTACTAAATCCTACCTAGTCTAACTAATCTTCTCCCTTTTTGCTGTTAAAAAAGAAAATCCGTAGTTTTAAGTGCACGAGACGCGGTCTCCACAACAAAACAGATTTTATTTGTAGTAATTTGGGCTTGATCAATAGCTAATAATACATGTATTATTATATGATTATATCTTGATATGATAGAAGCAGGATTGTAATAGATAATAACAGAATATAATAATGAATAATGAATATAATATTAGTCTATTATTTGAGCTACTCGTCATTTCCTGCACGAATCTTATGTGTATTCCTACTGTGGGCATGCTATTAACGTGCCAGCTGATACTTCATATTAGCATTTGGATACACAGACATGCGCGCACGCGCGCACACACGCATCCATACATACAGTTTTTGACTGCAGGCACTTTCTCCATCATGTTTTTGCTGTTACGTGCAGCCTTGTGTCTCATTGGGCTGATTTCTCTATTATTTTCTTTCTCACCGTTTCACGCTGTTGTTTTCTCGCAGCTGCTTATCCTTGTCTTTTCATTCTCCGTTGAACGCGCTTGCGTGTTCTCCCTCGGCACACTCTGTCGCACGTCGTCTTTTCCCCCCGTTCAACGTGCTCGATTGTTACGCTCTCTACAAATTGCTTTCCACATCGTCTTCCCCGTTCAACACGCTCTGTTCTATTGCTGTGAGAGGGCCATGTCGAAGATAGGTCCGCGCCATTTTATTGTGTCTGTACCTAACATGTTTTACCGTCGTTAAATCAAGTTTTTACTTACTTACTTACTCACTTTCCTCATCTTCTTCTTCTCTGTTTAACGCGCTCGCGTGTTTCTGTGTCGCCAGGTGTCTGTTCCTGCCGGACAGCGGCGCGTTCTTCGTCAACTACGTCGTCACGTCCGCGCTCATCGGCTGCGCGCTCGAGATCATCCGCTTCCCGGAGCTGTTCATGTACGCGTGCCGCATGTGCTGCTCACGCTCCGCCGCCGAACACCCGCACGTGCGCAAGGTGAGTTTGCGTGTGGGGGTCACGCGTTGGTGAGGTCGCCGAGGGGTCACGCGTTGGTGAGGTCGCGCGATGGTGAGGTCGCATGAGGGGTCACGTGTTGGTGAGGTCGCGCGAGGGGTCACGCGATGGTGAGGTCGCGCGAGGGGTCACGCGTTGGTGAGGTCGCGCGAGGGGTCACGCGATGGTGAGGTCGCACGAGGGGTCACGCGTTGGTGAGGTCGCGCGAGGGGTTCACACGATGGAAGAATCCACGAGGGGTCACTCGTTGGAGGTCGCACGAGGGTGTCCAACGCGATGGTGAGGTCGCACGAGGGGTCACACGATTGGTAAGATCTGCACGAGGGGTCACTCGTGTGAGGTCGCGCGAGGGGTCCACGGCCGATGGTGAGTCGCACGAGGGTCACACGATGGTGAACGATCGCACGAGGGGTCACTCGTTGGTGAGGTCGGGGCACGAAGGGGTCACACCGATGGTAGTATCGCACCCGAGGGGTTCACTCGTTGTGATGGTCGCGCTGAGGGTCACCCGATGTGTGAGGTCGCACGAGGGGTCACATGCCTCGCCCGATGGTATAGATCGCGTCACGAGGGGTCCAGCCGTTGCGTTGAGTTCGCGGCGAGGGGTCACGGCGACTGTGAGTCGCACGAGGGGGTCACTAACGATGTAAGATCGGCACGATGGGTACACTCGTTGTGAGGTCGCGCGAGGGGTCACAGCGATGGTGAGGTCGCAGGCGAGGGGTCACACGGATCGGTGAGATCTGCACAGAGGGGTCACGCGATGGTGAGGTCGCACGAGGGGTCAAGAAGTAGTAAGGGGTCATGTGAGAGGTCACGTGAGGGGTCACGCATTGGTGAGGTTGCGCGAGGGGTCACGTGAGGGTTAGAAGTAGTGAGGGGTCGTGCGAGGGGTCATGTGAGGGGTAGAGGAGTAGAGAGGGGTCGTGCGAGAGGTAGAGGAGTAGTGAGGGGTCGTGCGAGGGGTCGAGAAGTAGTGAGGGGTCGTGCGAGGGGTCGAGAAGTAGTGAGGGGTCGTGCGAGGGGTCGAGAAGTAGTGAGGGGTTTGTGCAAGGGGTCGAGAAGTTATTGAGGGGTCGTGCGAGGGGTCAGAAGTAGTGAGGGGTCGTGCGAGGGGTCGAGAAGAGTGAGGGGTGTCGAGGGGTCGAGAAGTAGTGAGGGGTCGTGCCGAGGGGTCGATGAGTACGTGAGGGTCTAATGAAGTAAGTTGAGGGTCGTGAGGGGTCGAGAAGTAGTGAGGGGTTGTGTGAGGGGTCGAGAAGTAGTGAGGAGTTGTGCGAGGGGTCGAGAAGTAATGAGGGGTCGTACCTGAGGGGTCGACGAAGTAGTGAGGGGTCGCTGCGAGGGGTTTCTCTTTCGAAAAAAAGTATGAGGGTTGTGTGTTAGGGGTTTCGAGAAGTAGTGAGGAGTTGTGCGAGGGGTCGAGAAGTAATGAGGGGTCGTACGAGGGGTCGAGAAGTAGTGAGGGGTTGTGCGAGGGGTGATGAATAGTTAATGATGGTGGTCGTACGATTGGGCTCGAGAAGTAGATATGAAGTGGTTGTGTGAGGGGTCGGAGAAAGTATTGAGGAGTTTGTGGCGATGGTTTCGAGATATAGTGAGGGGTCCGTACGAGGGGTCGAGATTAGTTAGTGAAGGTGTTTGTTTTGGTTGGGCGAAAAGGGGGGGGGAAAATATTTTTTTGAAAATTAAGTAGTGGTTGGGTCGTGGCGATGGGGTACGAGAATTCAGTGGAGGGGTCGCATTGAGGTTCACATAAGCCTCATAAGGGATTGTGAGGTCAGTGAGGGGTCGCATTGAGGTTCACATAGGCCTCATAAGGGATTGTGAGGTCAGGCGAGGGTAACGTGAGGTTGCGAGGTGCCGAGCTACTGGCATTTAATCTTCGCAATTGTTTTATTATTACGTCATGCGCGTGCCTGAATGGCACCCTGTTTTTTTCTCGCAATTCATTTTTTGTTGATTGCTACGTCACGAGCATGCCTGAATGGTACCCTCTGCTTTTTTTCTTTGCAATTGATTTTTGTTCATTGTTACGTCATGAGCATGTCTGAATGGCACAATTTGTTTTTCTCCTCGCAATTGATTTTTTGTTTCATTTGGCTTCATAACGTTTTTTAGCATTGCGTTACTTCACCTGTATTCATGGATATATGCACGCACACGCACGTGCACGCGCGCATGCACAGGCACAGGCACATGCTCATTTGCATGCATGCACAAACGCACACATGCACACGCACACGTGTACATGCGCATGCACGGGCACGCGCACACACCTACGCACGCACGCCTTGTAGTTGCATAACATATGCGATTGTGTATGCAATTATGTATGTATGGAGTAGTATCAGGAATGAATGAAAACAAATTGTTTGTTTTTATTCACTCCTGATAGTATAGTATGTACGTAATACACACACCACACACATACACGCAAACGCACGTACGCACGCACGCACGCACGCACACACAGTGTCAAAGTGTACGTGTGTACGGTAAGATCGTGTGTAACTTTTGTGCGGCGCGCTTCCCGTTGCAGACGATCGTCTGGGAGTTCCAGTTCGGCGTGCAGTACGCCTGGATGCTGACCGTGTTTGCCGTGACGATCGTCTACAGTCTCTCCTGCCCGCTCGTCGTCCCAGCAGGTGAGCCGACAATGCGCTCGCCTCAGTAACAACCCGGTCGCCCACCGTCTTCTCGCGCGAGACGGTCCGTCTAGACTCTAGCGACTGACGAGTCGACAAGAGATCCAGATGAATGGATGATTTCGGCGGGCGGCCCTCATCGAGGCATAGTACGATAATGATACGTTGATGTGGAGCGCGGCGATGGCGGCGTAATGCGAAGCCTTGTTAGAAGTAGACGGGTAATACATAGCCTCGGCTGACTGCTGTGACATTAACACGCGATAATTAAGCTTCAAAGCAACTGTCGGCTATTGTTCCTACACCCCCCACCCCGTTTGTGGTCGGAAATTAATTAGAGGTATTGAATGTCGGGTGGTGTGTGGAGTGTGATTGCGTGTGACAGCCCATTAGGCTTATTATGTACATGTTTTTTTATCTAAAGCAGGGTTCGTATGGTTAGAGGAAAAAATGTCACTTTCAGAGTGCTGTCTGAAGATTCTGGGAGAATTGGTTATGATCGTTGGAAACTCCCGGGGAAAAAGTATTGCGTCTGATCCTAGTACGTAATTGGAAGTGTGTTTATCTCAATTGAGAGACTTTTTGCTTCGTGAAAAAATGCTTAATCATTGCTGATCAGGTGATGTGTGGAACAAAGACCGCGTCCGGCCAAAATCCTACAGTTGTAGAAAATTGTGGCGAAACAACAGTGTAAAATACATACGTGCTCTGCAAAGCAAGCAACACGTTAACAAATGTTGCATGCAACATTGTCACATGTTGCAGTGGAATTTTGTTGTACCTGGTTGTCGAAACTACCGCAACCCCGTTAAAAATTGTACACACAACTTGTTGCAGGATTGTTGTACCCCGACGACGAAACGCACCGACCCCCGTTAAAAATTGTTACACACAACTTGTTGCAGATTGTTGTACCGACGACGAAACGCACCAACCCCCGTTAAAAATTGTTACACACAACTTGTTGCAGATTGTTGTACCTGACAATGAAGCACGCTGTTGACCGCTACAACATCTACTTTGCGTACGCCCCATCGAAGATCAGCCGGCGCATCCACGCGACGGGCATCAGCTATGTGGTACTGAGCGTCGTGCTGCTGCAGATGTCACTGCTCTTCTTCTCCATGCTGAGAATCGGTGAGCGAGGGAGAGGGGGGCGAGAGGAGTGCGGGAGAGAGAAGGGGGAAGGAGAAAAGAGGGGGTGGGGGTGGAAGAGAGGAAAGATCGGAGAGAGAGAGAGAGAGAAGAGAGAGAGAGGGGGAAGAGAGGGTGGATGGAG